ACCAATCCATGCCCACTATTATATCAAATTCTCTTAAAGGTATGGGAAATAATTAAATAGGTACCTCACATCCTTCTATACTTATGGAACAATCATCAATCATTTCCTTAACCGACACTTCACTATCGTTTGCTGTCTCCACTATCAATACTTCATCTAACGTTTTAGATTATAAGTGCGCACAATTAACAAATGATGGTGATACGAAAGAACGATTTGCACCAGAATCAAATAAATTTTTGGCACATACTGAATTAACAAGGAATGTACCTGTCACTACTTCAGGGTGTTCTTATGCCTCGCCTCTCGTCATCTGAAAGGCTCGTTCTCTAGCAATCGTTTCACCACGTCTTATTTCCCCACAACCACTCTGAGTATTACGATTAACTGCTGACCCGCGGTTAGGTGGAATATAACCAGATTCTCGGCCCCCCATAGATCCTCTACCCCCAGCAAAACCAGATCCTCCTCCATTAGCTTGCGGACAATTATCGTTCACATGCTAAGAGGAATTGCAGGTAAAACATATTCGCACCATTCGACAGTCTCGAGCTATATGACCTGATTCCTAACATTTAAAACATACTCGTGACTCTGTATTGTAGTTTCCTTGATGTACTTTATGACATCATGCACATGCCTTATCAGTAAACCTTGGAACTGGTCGATTTAGATTTTCAGTAAACCTTGGTCTACGAAAATCTGTCGTTATGACTTCCCCTTTTCTTTTATCCCCAACCTTTTCTTGTGGTTGGCAATTAATATCATGTTCCAAAATTTCTGCAGCGTCAACCGCTGCCTGAAATGTTATTGGGTTTCTAGATATCACATATTTTCGGAGATTAGACTCCAAACCCTTTATATACTTTCTAACTTTACTGCTTTCAGATACAATATATGCTTCAGCAAACCGAGAATATTCTATGAAAACTTTTGTATATTGACGAACTAACATGTTTCCTTATAAACGAAGGAAGTCATCCTCTAACTTTCGAACAGCTGTTTCAGGACAATATTGCATCTTAAATTTCATCACAAATTTCTCCCACAACATAGTCTTTAGAATATTTGGATTTGAACTTGACAAAATCTCCCACAAATATAAGGCACTTGACCTCAGTCGAGACACAACAAATATGACTTTATCTTCCTATGCACTTTTACTGATTTGCATACTTAATTCAACTTCTTTAAGCCAACACATGGCCTTAACAGGGTCACGTTCTCCAGAAAATTTAGGAGGTTTACAGGCAAGAAACATCTTGATATCTTCTCCTTTTTGGACTGAGGATGAAGTAAGGGGTACAGACGTATTTGTTGTCGGTGTACTAGCTTCGGCTTCTTTCTGATAATCTGGATCTCTTACTTCTTTCGAATTATTTTGTGCCGAACGTCCCAACAAACTTACTAAACTCTCTTGAAATTTTCCCAATTCAGCGGCCAACATTTCCTGGGTAATAAAACCAGGATCAGGAGCATTACTTCTTCCTCTTGCTCTACCTCTTCTACGGCCTGACATAGAACTCTCATGTGCCGATAATTCTTGTTCCACATGAGTCTCTTGTTGAGTATTTCTTCACCTTCCTCGTCCCTAACTTCAACTTCGTGTTTCGATAGTCATTGTATTTTTTGGATCCTCTTCTCTATTTATCATTCCTCTTCCCCGACCACTTCCATGGCTAGTAGAAGTCCTTCCCGATCGATTAAGATTATCTGTCATCTCTTCTTAATATTCGTATTACTTTAATGTCCTTTCTGTAGAAATAAACACACATACGATTATTCACATACCAAAGTATGATAACATGTTTACCCATGGGTCTAATATTTGTAACTCACCATTACATCAATCACATGTGATCTAACTTTATCATACTTGTCCCCATAATAGGTTCAACTATAACATATTCCAATGTTCATAGTCCCAGTGAAACCTATTATCATATATTCCACACCTCTAGTTTAAGTCTAAGTATTAAGAAAATATCCAGATCCCTTAAATTAAGGCTCTAATACCAACTGCAATGACTCACTACGCTATTTATGATATAAATCACAACAATCACTCATATGAAAATATAGTTGTCGTAGTATAACCCAAAATTCTGTGTTTACATAACAAGAGAAAATATGGATTAACAAAAACTTTGTCAGTTACAACACAAACACCTAAATAACACTTCATAACATTTTTCCCTTGCCTTTGTCTTTTGATGATAGATGACCTGCAAAACAGATTAGTCCAATAGTTGAGCGTTAGTGAGTGTATCTTTCTCATATGAACAGTATATATTTCAAAATCCTAGATTATAACAAACCTGGATCTTAATATATCATTTCATCACTTATTTATCACGGTTACACCGCCAGTTCATCTATCGTGGTTACACCGCCAGTTCATCTATCGTGGTTACACCGCTAGTTCATCTATCGCGTTTACCAATCATTAAAGATTTTCCCTCCACAACTCTTTAATCATATAAGATATAAAAATTGCCAACACTTTATTCAGATAATTAAGAATCCGGTCAACTTTTTTTAGCCGGATAAGGAATCCGGACGGCCTTGTAGCCGGATGGGAAACGTATCCGGATGGGAACGCCTATCCGGACGACATTATTGTCAGATAGGAAACGTATCCGGACGACACTATAGCCGGACTAGGATGCATATCCGGACGGTACTACAGCCGGACTTGGACGTATCCGGAAGGTACTATAGCCGGACTAGGACGTACCCAGACGGTACTACAGCTGGACTAAGACGCGTATCCGGACGGTACTACAGCCGGACTAAGACGCGTATCTAGACGATATGATCACCGGATGGAAACGTATCCAAAGAATCAAGTAGCAATGAAACAACTAAAAACCAGTGATAAAACATATGTATAGGATGTTTGAAAAACACTCACCTTTGATTTAAAGACTAGCTTTTAATTCTTTTCCTGATCTTCCAAACAAAATAAAGATGTGCTCCTCCAAAAACAGTCCAAAAACCTCCCCCCTTTCACTTGTACTTGCTATAAATAGCAAGTACATCGCCTCCCCTTTCCATTATAAAAACAATCCATATATACATATACCCACACAAAACTATATAACCATATATTAATATTTGACCAAATAATTAATAAAACCAAACATCACAGACATGCTCTTCCTTCTCTCTATAATGCCACCTTCAACTCAATTAAGGTACAATTCTCCTATAATTTCTCCTAATTTTTGTGTAGTTACCTTCATTTGTGATTCTTTGTTTGCATGCTACTTTATAGCCATTTTTATATGATTTCTACTATAAAAGATTGGACCACAAATTCTCATGTGCATTGTCGTTTACTTCATTGATTTTTGGTTTTTTGAATTTTGATTAGACCGAGATCTTTTTAACGGTATGTTGTTAGAACATATTGGAAATTTGCATGACTGACCATATGTTAAGTAATTACTATAATACTTATTTTGCACCCACTGTGCGTCTGTTACACAAGTTTTAATTTTTATGATGCTCTAACTTGTCAGGTTGATGGCCATTAGTTTTTACAAGTACGGAAATATGTTCTTTCCTAGATCAGGTGATGTTAAGGTTCTTGATATACTCATTTTCTATATAGTTAGTATTTAGCATATGCTGCTTATTGTTTGTGGAGTTAGTAATTTTGTGACTGTAATCTAAAAGGGTGGCTATGTTTGAGAATAATTGGTAAAATTGTAAGTAATCAGATTAAAAGGTACCTATTTGTCTTTTCATATTCTCAAGATGGACCTAAGATGAAATGTACAATTACAAGTACTTCATTTGGAAATAAGATGCCTTCTATCATATCATATGTACCATTCCACTAGATGGGCAACCATCCACCATAAACATGCCAATCTTTGTTTTTACTAAATTGTAGTTCTCTTTTCAACTCTTTAGGTGTTAAGGAACTAGACATGGTTTTAGTGTCACCTAGCTAATTGAATCTTGATTATGATAAGCAAATGATGCAAGAGTACATGAGCAACATCTTCAAGTTTAAGTTTTGGAACAAATTGTTTTACCTTCTTTTTTGGTACTTGATCATTGACCTCCAGGTGGCCAAACACCAAAAAAAAAAAAAAAAATCCAAACAGACTTTCGAAAGAAAGATTTTGGCCTTTCTTTTCTCAACTTCCACATGTAAGGGCTCGTTTACCAAACACTCATTCGATAAGCACTTATCTGTAAAATTTAACACTATCACTTACTTACCATATAAAATTTTAGCCAAAAAAAACGGCATCCTATACAACAATTTACCCGATAAGCGCTAACCGTGATTAGAGTCGTCGCCCTTAGTTACCGGATAAGACTCTTGGTCCTTGTCTCACCTTTACCGGAAAGATTCAATGGGATTTGCGTGGGGATCTTTTTCAATAGTGTTACTAGTCTAAAAAACAGCAGCTATGGGGTTGTTCATCAAGTATTTGTCTAAAAAACAACAGCTATATAGTGTTGTTAATGAGTGCAGGTCTATAGGGGTTGATTAGGGCCTGTTTCAGAGCATTTTTGGGACTGTTTAAGGTCTGTTTCAAGGACGTGTATAATTTGTTTAGAAAATGATTTTGATCAGTCCTTTCATTTCCGTCTAGAGGGATTTGATAGGGATACATTGTAAGATAGTAGAAGTATTACCTGGGGTGCCAATCTAGTTAGGATAAAACCTTTGTCACATAAATTTATGCTCACATTTTTTATATTATCGATATGTTCAGGTTGATAAATCGTTGCTTTGTTTGAAGATTTTTAAAGACGTTTAGAATCTGCTTAAAATCATGTCAATGTATCGACCAACATGATACATGTATAACACTGCTTGTCTTTGGAAGGTCATATACTATTGAGATTTTTAAATGTTTCAAATCACCCCATGGAAGTTGAGGATGGATCTCTATCCGACCCGTTGTGCTGAGTCCGGACATTCGCATCAAATAATATAAAGTAACCCGTGAAATGCGGGTTTAATTATTTGAACCTCCATCGACAAAAGAAAGCAATTAAAGTCATCATCTCTCCTTTTTCCTAAACGCAAACCCTAAAGAGAGGGAGAAAGGGTCTCCTCCGTGGAGAGCAGGGCAAGCAAGGAAGAAGTCAGAGAGCGAAGATGGTGTTCTACTTCAAAGCCCGACCAGAAGCCGGAGACTACACCATCTTCATGGGTCTTGACAAATTTGAGAACGAGGAACTCATCAAATACGGATTCCCCGAAGACATTTGGTATACCCGCTTTTCTCTCCTTTCTTTTGCTCGTAATTCTCATACTTCGAAACATAAAGGAATTAGTATCTGTGGATGGAGGTCTATGGATGTAAACTTGATGTTTCCGATGTGATTGCTTCTGTATGTGCTGGATTATCCATTTTAAGTGATATGCGTACGCATGTCTATTAGAATTTTGATTTGTCTAGCTTTTGTGAGGGTAATTGTTTTTTTTTTTTTGGTGTTGTGTGTTGGGGGGGGGTAGAATTCTGAAATTATGCTTCTTTATATGTGAAAATTATGCTTCTTTCATGCATGTTTGGAGGTTTGATTAAACGATTCTATAAAAACCTAAGTAATTCCATCCAGTTTCGAGGCAGAAATTGGGATACAATACAAGAAAGTGGTATAATGGTTTTTTTTTTCCCTACGATTTTGCTTGTTATGTTACCCTCTAGTAAAGTGGCATGCCACCATGATCTTCATTTCACTTGGAAAAAAAGAGGATATTTGTGAAGGTATATGGCCAGTAATTGCATATTAGTTTTTTAAAGACTAAAAAGTGGATCTAGTAAATGCACTACTATGAAGTTATATAGTGGATGCTTGAACTAGAGAAGACAATGTGATTACTTGTCTTCATTACATTACTGATGTTGTGAAGTCTTTTTGCTTTGAAGTATTGGTGGAGAAACTGAGCAATCAGCGTGGCATGATACCATTAAGCTATAACATTAAGGGGCTGTTTGTTTGGCTCTTAATGTCAACCTCTTAATCGGTAAGAGGTAAGGGCTGTTTGGCAAAAAAAAAAAGCCTTTTAATGGTTACATTAACCTCTTAACCATTTCGTGCCTGGGGTTCACTAAACCATTCAGATTGCATTTGTTCCATCTTTACCCTTCCACACCCTTCATCTTTGTCTCCTCCCATGGCGGTTTATCCCCTTGTTGCTTTCTTCTAACATCTTTGTCTCGATGGGTTACCAGATGGGTTGCCTTCTTCATTAACACGTCTCCACTAGATGGGTTACCAGATGGGTTGCCTTCTTCTTTACAGATTTGGGGTTCTTGATTTCTTACAATCTTGAATTTTGCTGTAATTTTCTTGATGTTTGTTTCTTTCTGTAGTTTGACTTTTTGAAGGATTGTTGGGTATTTTTATTATACATCTTGGTTTTGTATGTTACTGGAACTAGATTGGGAAAATGGGTGTGGTTTGTGTTTTGTTGAAAGAATGCTTCATCTAATTTATTGGTTCTAGGTCAGTGAATGGAATTATGTGATTTTATTATACATCTTGGTTAGCTGAATTATTTTATTTAGATTTGGACTGAAATCTTGTTTTGAACTAATAATGTTACGTTTGTTTCGATTAATATGAAATATGTAGTTATATTTGCAAAATAATTGTTTTATTCAGATATTTGTCAAACAGCTCTATTTCATTCAATACTAAATCATGCAAAGGGTTAAAATGGTAATTTGTTGTCATTCAGAGAACATTTACCAAACAACATTATTTCATTCAGTACTTAACCATTCTGGCCTCTTAACCATTCTGACCACTTAACCATTCTGCACCAAACCATTCAGCAACCGCCAAACAGCCTCTAAGCTTTAATTTGCTAGCAAACCCAACTTCTTTCCTTGCTCTTTCTGAAGTTGTGTTTAAGATACAAGTAGAAAAAATATTTTGGTTATAGTTCCATTTTTGATGCGTCAGAATGTTGACTACAATTTTGCGGTATTTGAAACCAAAAGTTGCTCAAAAGGATGCATATATCAAATATTTGTCACTCACCACCTTTCTCTTTTCTGACATGCATGTGTAGGGCCACTAAAATATCTTGTCAATTGGGAACATTAGCATTCCTAACATCAACATCTCTCCCTTGGTTAGCATATCACCCACTAAGTTGTAGGGTAATTCTCGTAGTTGTATCTGATTTCTTTTTGCCATTGTTAGATTCTTTTCTGTACATCTTCGAAGGAATCAGCCCAATTGAGTGATGTCTACATCCATCAACATGTAGGCTCACATGTACCACAAATTTCTTTTTGGATAGGATCTGTAATAAACCCTATGGAGCATCTCTGTGCACACTACTATTGTTTAGCGACATGAAGTGATACCATAATAAATTGTCCAATCCTCGGCATGAATTCAATAATCCCCTTTGTCAAATTCAACTTTGATTCAGGTCTGTTTTTATTACTATTTTTCTCTCTTTTATTGATGGTCCAAGAATGGGATGCATACATGGAGTCCTGAATCCCTGATTAGGAGTTAACTTTGAAAAATATTTTGTTTGCTTTTGGCAATTGGATTTTTTGTGGTGACTTGTTAGGTAGGGGAAAAGGGGGCCAAAGATGGAAAGAGATTAGTTTATGGTAGTTGTGGGAATTGCTAATTTATTGGAATTTAAGTGATGGGGAGCTGGTTTAGTTGTGTACATGGTTTTGTTAGGGATATTCAATATATTCTAAAGGAAATGAGGAGAGTCATGAAGTTTTGCATTCAATTATGAATAAGGAAAGGGTCTTTCTTTGCAGTTGAGTGGGGTAAATGGAGGGGTTCATATTCTTGTAAAATCAAGTGAAAATTGGACAAAGAAGTTCTACTTCTGTTTGACATGTTAAGATAAGGTTATAATATAAGCAATATGGTCTTGCCGAATAGAGGAAGAGATAAGTTATGTCCATTGTTATTATTTTTGGAGTGAGGAAGTTACACATGTAACCATTTGTATGACTAGTGCTCTTTCATGCTTTTAGAAATCAATATCAATTGTATTTCACTTGATTCAGTATACATACAAAATACATATGTTTATACATGGTCTTAATTATATCTCTATAATTTTCTAATCTAAATGATTTCGTTTCCTTTTCTTGTTGATTCCATAGCACTCCCCCTCAAGTTGGAGCATAGATATTGATCATACCCAACTTGTTACAAATATAGTCAATACGCTTCCCAATTCACGACTTTTGTAAAAATGTCTCCTAACTGATCTTTTGACGGCACATGTCCTGTTGCAATGAATCCATCTTCAATATTGTTCTAACAAAGTGTTAAGCGATTTCAATATGCTTAGTTTGTTCGTGAATAACAAAAAGAAATACCCGATGTGGTGGCATGTACTTTTCTGATTAATAAACAGTCTCCTAAGGTATTATTCGACTTAGGAGCAAATAAGTCAATAGTGTCTACAAAATTCTGCATGAATTTAAATCATCTATCTAAGAAATTAGATCAAATAATTGAGATAGAAACTGGTAGAATCACACAGATTGATAAGGTATATGAAGATTGCTCAATGGATATAGATGGAAATTATTTCATCATTAAGCTTTTACCAATGCTCATTAGTACATTTGATATTGTTGTGGGTATGAATTGATTATCTAAAAACCAAGCCCATATAGTCTGTGACAAGAAGATGGTGAGAATTAAGAATAAGGATGTTAAGGTATTAACCATCTACAATAATCATAAAAAGAATCCCTTGAACCTTATATCAGTTTCAAAAGCAAGAAAATGTATTCATAAGGGATGTGAAACCTATTAGGCGTATGTAATAGATGCTAAAAAGGAAAAGAAACCTGTAGAAAAGATACCACTCGCATGTGATTATCCATAAGTTTTTCCTGATGATGTACCCGGTTTACCTCTAGATAGACAATTAGCACCAGGAGCAATACCCATAGCCCGAGCACCATACAGACTTGCACCATTTGAGATGCAAGAACTTATGAATCAGTTGCAGGACTTGCTTGATAAAGGGTTATTCGCCCAAGCTCGTCACCATGGGGAGCGCCAATATTTATTGTTAAAAAGAAAGATGAAACCATGAGAATGTGCATTGATTATCGAGAATTAAATAAAATCACCATCAAGAATAGATGACCTATTTGATCAATTGCAAGAAGCAAGTTGTTTCTCGAAAATAAATTTGCGCTCAGGATATTATCAGTTAAAAGTACAGAAGGAAGATGTCCCAAAGACAATATTTCGAACTCGATATGGGCATTATGAATTTCTAGTTATGCCTTTTGCTTTAACTAATGCCTCAGCTGTGTTTATGGATCTCATAAATCGTGTATGTAAGCCATACTTGGATAAATTCATCAGTGTATTCATAGAATATATCCTCATCTATTTCAAAAGTCAAGAAGAGCATGAATGACACTTGAGAATGACACTAGAACTATTAAAGCAAGAAAAGCTTTATGCAAAATACAAAGTGTGAATTTTGGATTCGAGAAGTTCAGTTCTTAGGTCATGTAATCAATGAAAAGGGTATCATGGTAGATCCAAGTAAGATCGAGTGCATAACAAAGTGGAAAACTCCGCAAGCAACAGAGATTTGAAGTTTCCTTGGACTGGCCAGTTACTATCGTAAATATATCCAAGATTTCTCTAAATTAGCAATACCTCTTACGACATTAACAAAGAAAGCTAGCAAGTTTGAGTGGGGATCTACTCGAGGAAGCCTTTTTGACTTTGAAAAGCAAGTTAAGTAGCGCATTAATTTTAAGCTTGCTAGAAGGAGTTGAGGACTTTGTAGTATACAGTGATGCATTCAAACAGGGATTGGTATGCGTACTCATGCAAAGAAATAAAGTAATTGCTTTTGCATCAAGACAATTAAAAGACCATGAGGCACATTACCTGACACATGATTTGGAACTGGCGGCCGTAGTCTTTGCCCTAAAAATCTAGAGGCATTATTTATATGGCACACGGTGTGTGCTACATACACATCACAAGAGCCTCAAGTGTGTATTTGACCAAAAAGAGTTAAATATGATGCAAAGGCGTTGGATGGAATTATTAAAAGATTATGATTGTGAAATTAAATATCATCCGGGGAAAGCCAACATTGTAGCAGATGCCTTGAGTTGGGAGGAACCGGTTAAATCAATTAAAATTTGGGCTTTCAGTGGAATAGCCACAAGTATAATGGAGCAAATTTGTGAAGAACAACAAGAAGCTTTGAAGGAAGACAACCAGAA